AGAGTCTCCTCCTTAAAGGTGCGATTCGGGTGGAATTTAAAAACAGCACCGGTTCCCTCCTGTTCCAACCGCGTCGTAAAAGATGGAGCTGCCCACGCCCTCCCGGCGGGACTGCTGCGCGGACTCAGCTACTGCTTCGCGCGGCTGGCCGCAGGGCGCACCTGCCCGCTACACAGGGCGCCCCTAAAGGCCGGCGCTGGGCCCACCCCGCCTCAGTGGCCCCAGGCGCCTCCCACGGTTCTCCATGCACGAAACACGTTTAACAGACGTCTAGGAAATTTATAAAATAAAGCCCAAGATGAAGTAACTATGTTTGAAACCTGGAAAATGCAGGGAAAGAGCTAAATGCTCACTTTGCCTTTTTTAGTCAAACTGGCGACTGGGCACCAAGCAGCGGAGAGGGGAAGTCTGTCCAGCTGACAGAGGAAGGGGTGGGAGAGCCACCTGCTTTCCGCCCCCAGTGAGCTCGGGATCCACACTGAGCGCCAGCGGCCGGTGGCGGCAGACACACCCGGGCGGTGAACGTGATGCACACGCGGGACAAGTGCAGGCCTGGCCACTGACCTACTTGGTGGATCTGAAGAATCATCGTTAACTTTCCAGGTGTGATCATGGCTTTGTGGCTATGATTCTGTTTATACTTTATAAATACAGCTGAAATATTTACAGATAAAATTGTGTCTTGGATTTTCTTCAAAACACTGTGGGTGGGAGGAGGGTCAGGGCGCAGAGGAAGCCAGCCTGGCTGAGCGGGTGGCTGCGAGCAGGCCGAGGCCCCGGGCTCCTTAGCTGCTCCTCTTTCCTGGCGTGTTTTAAATCCTTCCTAACAGTGAGCTGGGATTCTGTTTTGTCTTGTGTTTTTAAGGGGAACCAATAAAGCCCAAGGCCCAGAGGCTAGAGAGGAAAACAGGGACAAAGAGGACGCGCGGCTGGCCACTGACCTGCACGTAGTGACCCACGTCTTCCTGGAAGAGCAGAAAGGACAGCAGCCCGCCCCGGGTGAGGGCCCCGGCCAGGATCTGCTGCAGCCCGCAGCTGAGCATCAGCACCTGCATCACCAGGTGCAGCATCTGGGGGGAGGGCGGGGCTGAGACAGGCTCCTCCCCTCGCCCAGGCCCCGCCCCGTCGAGGGGGACCCACCCGGGGGTCTCCCCGGCTTTCCCCGCCCCAGCCACGCCCCTTCTCACCCTGCGGAAGAGCAGGTAGAGGGCGCATTCCAGGTTTCCCCGCCACCGCAGCTTCCGGCACCGTTCCAGGGCCTCCTCATAGCGACAGGCCTCGTGCTCCTCAGCCCCAAAGCTGCGCACGGTCGGCAGCCCTCCGACGGCCTCCCGCACCACCTGCCCGGCCTGCGCCACCTCGTCCTGGGTCTCCAGAAGCAAGGCCTGGACACGGGCAGGAGGCGCGAGGTTCACTCGGGGGAAGACGCTCCGGCCCCCGCGCGCTCCCCAGCCGGCCTCGCAGCAGCAAACTGCCTTCCTTCCCTCTTCCTTACGTTTATTTCCAGAAGGAGCAGCGCGAGTGAGGAGGGGAGGGAACAAATTATCCCTGGGCTCTCGGTGCTAGTTAAGTGGGAGATGCACACCGTTTTACCCCTTCATCTGAGCTCATGCGCACCACCCCCTGCGTCTGAACAAGAGAGGAGGGGTAGTCCCCCGGGAGCCACAGCTACTTAGCAGAAGGTGGAGATGTAACTTAAAGTGGACCGAAGACCCGAACCTAAGAGCTAAAACGATAAAACTCTTAGAAGAAAAAACAGAAGGGAAAGCTTCAGGACACTTGCTTTGGCAATGGCTTCTTGGACGTGACACCAGAACCACAGGCAACAAACTAAGAAGAACATAAATGGGACTTCGCCAAAATGAAAACTTTGTGCATTAAAGGACTCTACCAACAGAGTGAAAAAGAAACCCGCATAATGGGAGGGGACATTTGCCGACTGCTGATAAAGGGATAAGACACAGGATATACAAAGAACTCTTACAACTCAACAATTTAAAAACAACTCAGTTTAAAAATGAGCAAAGAACTTGCATAGACATTTCTCCAAAAAAGATAAAAATGGCCAATAGCCTGGCTGGTGTGGCTCAGCGGTTGAGCATCAACCCATGAACCAGGAGGTCAGGGCACATGCCCAGGTTGCAGGCTCGATCCCCAGTAGGGAGAATGCAGGAGGCAGCCAATCAATGACTCTTTCATCGCTGATATTTCTATTTCTCTCTCCTTCTCCTTTCCTCTCTCTAAAATCAATTAAAAAATGTTTTTAAATAAATAAAGTGGCCAATAAGTATATGAAAAGATGCTTAACATGACTAATCATTAGGGAAATGCAAATCAAAACCACAATAAGATATCACCTTACTATCATTAGGATGGTTATTTTTTAGGTAATACATATATGCGAATATTAGCCATTAAAAAAGGAAATTCTGCCTTTTGTGACAATATGGACCTTGATGGCATTATGCTAAGTGAGATAAGTCAGATAAAGAAAGGCAAAAACTATATAAGCTCATTTATAAGTGGAATCTAGAAGAAAATCAGGTTTGTTGTTACTAGAGGTGGGCGTGGAGCACAGGGAAATTGGATGTAGGTTGTCAAACTTCCAGTTATAAGATAAATAAGTGCAAGGAATGTAATTTTAAAAACACAGAAGAGCCCTAGCCAGTTTGGCTCAGTGGTTAGAGAGTCAGCCCACGGACTGAAGGATGCCAGGATCGATACTGGCCAAGGGCAGGAACCTCAGCTGCAGGCTCAATCCCCAACCCCGGTCGGCACAGGAGCAGGAGGCAGCCAATCGATGTGTCTCTCTCACATCAATGTTTCTCTCTCACTCTCTCCCCTCCACTCTCTCACATCAATGTTTCTTTCTCTCTCTCTCTCCCCTCCACTCTCTCTGAAAAGGCAATGGGAAAAATACCCTTGGGTGAAGATTAAAAACAACAAACGCAGAAGATAACAAGTGCTGGAGAAGGATGTGGAGAAACAAAACCCCTGTGCACTGCAGGTGGGAGCCTAAAACGGTGTGGCCACTATGGAAAACAGCATGGTGGCTCTTCAAAACGTCAAAAGTAAAGTCAACATACAATCCAGCAGTCTTACTCCTGGGTATATGCCCAAAAGAATTGAAAGCAGGGACACAAACAGATATTTGTACATTTATGTTCATAGCAATATTATTCGCAGTAGCCAAAAGGTGGAGCAACCCAAGGGTCCATCAGCAGATGACTGGATAAACAAAATGTGCTGTCTGCATTGATGGAATATTATTCATCCCTAAAAAAGAGAAATTCTGACACATGCTACCACATGGTTGAACCCTGAGGACATTATGCTAAACGAAAGAACCCAGCCACAAAAAGACAAATACTGTATGAAGCCACTTATAGGATGTCTAAGTAATCAAATTCATATACAGAAAGTAGCATGGTGGTTGCCATGGTGGGGAGGGGAGGAATAGGAATCTATTGTTTAATGGGTTAGAGTTTCAGTTTGGGAAGATGAAAAGAGTTCTGCAGATGGATGGTGGGGATGGTTGTGAGACAGGCCAGTCAGCTAGGACAAAGTAGAATGGAGAAACTGAGACAGAGAGCTGAATAAACTGGCAGAGCAGTTTACAGCAGATACAGAAGCATCTGCTGCCTAAAGATAGCATCTAAGCCTCAGTTGTATTTCAGCTCCAGGACCAGAAAAGCAACAAAACCAGGTAGGCAAAGCCAGGACCAGCTGCAGTGATCAATGACCCCCTGCCCTGGTGCTGACCAATCAGTGGAGACCATGGCCCTGGAGGAGCACACGTAGAAAATGATGAATATTCTGCTAAAACCCTCCCCTGATACCTCCCCTATGATTCCCACCTGAAAGAAAAAGATAAAAGCTTCAAGACAAAGAACCCAGTGTGAGCTCTCTTTCTGGGGAGCAGCCCCCCCTCCTCCCTTCCCTCACTTCTTTCCCCACTTCTTCCCCCACAGGCATGCATCTTCTAAACCCTAAAGGACCCCATGATACTTGCAACCAGGAGAGCAATGGGCATCAGCAGCTAACTCCCAAGGCCTCTTTTCTCTGACTTCCCGGTGAGCCTAGGCTCCTGTTGCCTCTTCTATGCTAAGCCCTTTTTTGTTTTATGTCCTCACTGTCCCCAGCTTTAATAAATGTTCCCTCATAGTCACCTAGACTCCTGCTGAACCCACACACTTCTCAGGGCCAGGTCCCTTTTCCAGTTACAGTTGTACAACAACATGAATGTATGTAAGGCCACTAAAATGGCACATTTTTAAATTGTTCAAAATAGTAAATTTTATGTTATGCATATTTTACCATAATTTTTTTTAAAAGAAAGAGAAGGGATTCCAGGATGGTGGCACATTGAGTGGAAGCTACACTGACACTCTCCAGAACCACACTGGAATTACAACTAAAATATAGAAAAACCTGAATAATCAACTGACGACTAGCTGGAGAGCACCCTCATAACCAAGGAGAAAAAGCGGAGACAGCATGGAGACTGGCAGGAAGCGCAGAGGCGCGATAGGGCTGGCTGGGCTCCCCCAGGCAGCAGCTGAAGGTCAGGAGAGATATCTCAGTTGTGGCGGTTTCCCACTGAGAACTTTGGGATCTAAACCCCAAGCTGGGCTCCCCCACCCAGAGCACCAGAACTGGAAAAGGTGCCCACATAACAATTGGCTTTGAATAGCAGCAGGGTTTCAGTCTGCCAGGAAGAGATAGCTAGAAATGCAGGTCCCCTCTTAAAGGGCCAATGCACCAAGTTTCATGTGCAGCCACTCACCTTGGGTCTGGAGAAAGGAGAGCAGAGTGGACTAGACCTGTGTGAGGAGAGTCCAGAGTTGCTGGCTCGGGATAGAGCTCAGAGGGCAGCCATTTGGATCCTTATGCTGAGTTATTCCCCCATATGGCAGGGGACATCTTTCTCAAGAAGACTTTTACCATCCAAGCTTTTGCCTGGGGGGAGAAGCAATTGCCCTGCCCTGTTGAAAAACCTCTTGACCCACCCTGTGGAGTTTCTACAGCCTGAAATTCATTAAGAAACTGAATACCAAGCAATCTCTGGGTGCTTTCAGTATTTGCCTGATCTGCTTCTGGACCCAGGGCTTGGAAAAGCAGACCTTGGTGTGCATCTTGCTCCTTTCCAAGTGCACCCAGCCCCAGTAGAGGAAATCACAAGCTGTGGAATGTGGAAAGCTTCAAACAGGGTAATCAAGGCCAGTCACAAACAGCGTCTGACACTGGCCTGCACCAGAGACCATCCAAAAGACTGGGAGTCCTAGCAGATCTACCTAACGCACAGAAACAAATCCAAACAGGCAGCCAAAATGGGGAGACAAAAAAAAACAAACCCCAAGTGAAAGAACAAAAGAATTCTCCAGAAGAAGAACGAAATGAAATGGAGATAAGTAATCTATCAGATATAGAGTTCAGAATACTGATCATAAGGATGCTCAACAGCATGAGAAAAGATATGGAAACTATGAAGGCAATTCAGAATGACATAATAGAAATTAAAAAATACATTGGAAGGAATAAACAGCAGATTAGGGGAAGCTGAGGATTGGAACAGCAAATTAGAAGACAGGGTAGAAAAAAATAACTCAATCAGAGAACCAAAAAGAAAAAACAATTTAAAAAACAGGAGGACAATTTAAGGGAGCTGTGGGACAACATTAAATGTAACAATATTCGCATCATAGGAGTGCCAGAAGAGGTCAAAAGTAAGCAAGGGTTAGAGAATCTATTTGAAGAAATAATGGCAGTAAACTTCCCTAACCTGGTGAAGGAAAAAGTCACACAAGTTCAGGAGGCACAGAGAGTCCCAAGCAAGAAGAACCCAAAGAGGCCCACACCCAGACGCCTCATAATTAAAATGCCAAAATTCAAGACAAAGAGAGAATCTTAAAGGCAGCAAGAGAAAAGCAACTTGTTACCTACAAGGGAGCTCCCACAAGGCTGTCAGCTGATTTCTTATCAGATACTCTATAGGCCAAAAGGGAATGGCATGAAGTATTCAAGGAAATGAAAAGCAAGGATTTGAAACCAAGACTACTCTACCCAGCAAGGCTATCATTCAAAATAGATGGTGAAATAAAGAGCTTTTCAGACCAAAAAAGGCTAAAGGAGTTTATCACAACCAAACCAGCACTGAAAAAAATGTTGAAGGGACTTCTGTAATTAGAAGTTGAAATAGACAGAACAAGAAGCATAGGCAGAAAGAAATAAAATGGCAATAGATAAGTACCTATCAATAATAACCTTAAACATAAATGGATTCAATGCTCCAATCAAAAGACATAAGTAGCTGAATGGATAAGAAAACAAGTCCCAAATATATGCTGTCTACAAGAGACTCACCTCAGAACAAAAGACTCACACAGGCTGAAAAATAATTTTTTCTGGAGGATTTTAAAGGAGAGATAGACAGCAATACAGTCGCAGTAGGGAACATTAACACTCCATTGACTTTACTGGATAGATCTTCCAGGCCAAAANAGCACTGACTTCACTGGATAGATCTTCCAGACAAAAAATCAACAAGGAAACAGTGACTCTAAATGACACACTAAATACAATGGACTTAATTGACATTTACAGAACATTTCACTCCAAAGCTGCAGAATATACATTCTCTTCAAATGCTCATGTGATATTCTCGCCCAGCCAGGCATGGCTCAGCGGTTCAGTGTCGACCTAAGATCCAGGCGATTGGGGTTCGATTTCCGGGCAGGGCACATGCCTGGGTTGTGGGCCCGATCCCCAGTCAGGAGGCAGCAGATCAATGACTCTCTCATCATTGATGTTTCTATCTCTCTCTCTCTCCTTTCCTCTCTCTGAAATCAATAAAGATATATTTTTAAAAACCACACACAAAAAAAAAAAAAAAACAAATGCACATGGGATATTCTCAAAGATAGACAACATANCCACACACACAAAAAAAAAAAACAAATGCACATGGGATATTCTCAAAGATAGACAACATATTAGGACACAAAACAAGTCTCCACAAGTTCAAGAAGACTGAAATCATATCTAGCATCTTCTCGGACATTTACGCCATGGAATACTATGCAGCTNTAGCATCTTCTCAGACATTTACGCCATGGAATACTATGCAGCTGTAAAAACGAAGGATTCTTTGCCTTTTGGGACAGCATGGTGGGACCTGGAGAGCATTATGCTAAGCGAAATAAGCCAGTCAGAGAAAGACAAGTATCCCATGATCTTACTCAGATGTGGAATCTAATGAACAAAATTAACTAATGAACAAAACAGATCTAGAGACATAGAAGCGTGGAACAGACTGAGGGATCTCAGAGGGAAGGCAGGGGCGGGTGGATGGGTGGGGAGAAATTAACCTAAGACCTTATATGCACATATGTATAAGCCACAGACAATAGCGTGATGAAGGCCTGGAGGGGGATGTGGTACAGGGTGGAGGAGATCAATGGGGGGAAAAGGGGGACATTTGTAACATTTTCAACAATAAACATAAATTGAAACATAAAAAAATATAATAAAAAATAATAAATAAAATAAAAAGAGTGAGTAGGTGAGACTAACATGCAGACTCAGGTCTTCCCGGCTGCACATTCTACTTTCTCTCTACACTCCTGCTGGTTATAAGGGGAGCACTACCTACAGCCTCCAAGATGGCAGTGTTCGTCTTTTATGGGGAAATTATGTGCAGACTCCTTTGAGAATCTGATGAAAATTATCCTCGCCCCAGAAAAATGTGACTTCCCTCTCTCCTTTCCTCCCTCCTTCCCTGTCTGTCTCTCTGTCTGTCTGTCTGTCTGTCTCTCTCTCTCTCTCACACACACACACACACACACACACACACACAGTCCCAGGGCCATGGACCTTCTGAAGCCTGTCAGAACTGCTGCTCTAAGGGCTGAGAGGACAGGACCTCTAGGACTGATCCTTCCCAGGGCTCCGCAACAGCCACATATACCTGATGGCGGGCATTGTACACCTTTTCAGCCGCTATCGTGAGAGGCACCTCGAGCAGGGACAGCAGGGTGAGTCGGGGCGACAGGCTGAGCATGAAGCTGTACAGTCCCACCACTTTCACCAGGCTCCGCAGGAGCAAATTGGCATTTAAAGGAAGCCAGGAACTCATCAGCTTGGTATCCGAGTTCAGCCGGGAATTCAGCTCCCCTGGGCAGGACAGAGCAGGTGAGGACCCCGCGGGCAATGGAGACCCCAGAAACTCCCTCCTGACCTTCCCTCTGACACAGGCCCCTCCTCTGAGCAGCCTCCTTCACTTGCACGCCAGGGGACAGGCTGCCTGCGGGTTGAGGGGAAGCCCGCACCTGGACTCTGGGCCCCACCTGTCTTAGTCTCCTGGAAGAAACCAAGGTCCTGGCGAAGAAGAGAGGCAAAGAGCTGCTCCCGGATCCGCAAGTTGATTCTGGACATAGTGAAGACGAAGCAGCCTCCCCGGCAGCCTGCAGACAGTGAGCTGTGGGGTGGGGAGGGGACAGGAGGGTGAACAGGACAGAGACAGAGGGAGGGGATGAAGGGGGGGAAACAAAGGAGAAAGCAGAGAGTGAAAAGTAATGCAAAGTTGGGGGAAATACACGGTGAGGGCAGGAGAGAAACAAACAAGAGAGGGATGGGGGGGTGGCAAAGGGGCAGAAATAAACAGAGAAAGAAAAAATGGTCACAATGAGCTATACCCAGAACAAAATCCCAACCCGTACAGATACACCTGCATTTATGGAGCTCACTCTGTGCTAGACGCAGGGAAGGCTACAATAGCAGTGAAAAGATACCGACACAGAGATGGGCTGTGGCCCACCTGGCCTCCCCGAGCTATCCTTCCGGGCTTCCCCGCCGTCTTGGTCCTTGGACTCTTTTCTCCCCACCCCCANCGGTCACGATGAGCTATGCCCAGAACAAAATCCCAACCCGTACAGATACACCTGCATTTATGGAGCTCACTCTGTGCTAGACGCAGGGAAGGCTACAATAGCAGTGAAAAGATACCGACACAGAGATGGGCTGTGGCCCACCTGGCCTCCCCGAGCTATCCTTCCGGGCTTCCCCGCCGTCTTGGTCCTTGGACTCTTTTCTCCCCACCCCCAAAGTCCTCCTTCCTAGTCCTGGCTGCTTCTCTGTGGGGACCCTGCCTCCCAAGCTCCGCGCCCTGGTCGCGCTGTTCCCCATCCTCTCGTCCCCGGAGTTGGACAACGCCTCTTAGACTAACCCTATTTTTACAATAAAACATGAAGGGAAAATGTGAAAGCATGGAAACAGGTATTTTACAAAATATGGGTTCCTCATACAAATCTAGTCACCAGGTTTGAAGGGGACAGTCGGTGACAGAACATGAGGGTTTGGACTCTGGTGAGAACGGAGAGAAGAGCCACGGGAGAAACACTGAGCGTGGGGCGTGACCCTGAGAAAAGCATCAACGCTCCTGGTGCTGATGCCTGGAGCCCAAGAGACTGATGGTGTCAGAGGGGGAAAAGAAGAGGGAGCCAGTCCCAAGAGGACCAGGAGGGAGTGTGAGGTGCCCGGAGCCCTGGGTGTGAGGAACGTGGGGTGAGAGCGGGACGTCCAGTGTGAACGTCTAGGAGGCAACAGGACTGGAGCTGAGCCCGGAGCTGTGGATGGTGGAGCCAGATGACCTGAGTTAGCTCACCAGGAAAATGTTCTTACGATCAAAGATCAAAGAACTGAGTCAGGAGAAAAGTCCACATTTAAGGGTCAGGAGGAGGAAAGTCTCCCGAGCAGGGAGAGTGGGTTGGGAAGTGGGAAGGGAGAAAGGGGTCAATAAGAGATGATTCGAATGCCAAGTGCTACAGAGAAGCAAAGAGAATTGAGGACCGATTTTTTTTAAAGTTTGATTTTTAAAAAACATTTGAGTAATTGGTTTCAGAAAAGAAAAGAAAAAAGTAGCAAAAATGGAATAAAGACATAATGAAGAAGTGGTTTCTGGGCCATTCTGAATGAAGCAGGACCACAAAAGGCGCCGTCGGGCACTAGGGCGAGGAGAGCGCGCAGCTCCTCGAGGCGAGCACCCTGGCGCCTCCCTGGAGCACCCTGGTCCCAGCCCCAGTTGGTTAATTGACAGCAGCTTCCTGGGTGTGTCTAAGGAAAGAGGGAAAAGCAAAGCAAGTGGAAAAGAGTAGAGATGCTGGAAAGGAAAGTGTAAGGGGCAGGGTGAGATCTCCAGGGTGACAATGGGGTGTCGGGGGAGGACCATGCGCGCGCTGGGCAGAGGATAACCCTGGAGGCGACGCGGCGGGCGCGG